GTTGGGAAGGAGACTCTGCTGAGCTGGATGGGGGACTGCCTGGTTATGCCTCCAGTCTGGGGTAGTGGTTAGGAGCGCGGTGGAGTGCAGTGGTTAGGAGCCGGTTTGGTGCAGTGGTTAGGAGCGCGGACTCCAATCTGGGAGAACCGGGCTTGATTCCCCGCTCCTCCACTTGCAGCTGCTCGTGTGACCTTGGGTCAGTCACAAGTTCTCTCAGAGCTGTTCTCTCAGGAGCCGTCCTCGAAAGAGCTCTCTCAGTCCCGCCTACCGCACAGGGTTGTGGGGAGGGGAAGGGAAAGGAGAGTGTAAGCTGTTTTGAGACTCCTTCGGGGAGTGAAGGGCAGGGTATGAATCCAATCTCTTCTTCTTCTGCTGCTGCTGATGGCCCCACTGATGAGAGTTAGAAGTAGGATGGAGGGGGGCTCTCAGCTGGAGAGGGGCCCAGGTATGATGGAGGGACACCTTATTGTTACCTCCCCTTCTCTGAAGGGCTCTCAGCTGCGGCAGCATCCAGGCATGCTGTGGGAACACCTGGCTGCTGCCTTCCTCCTTCTTTTGGGGGTTTTCAGCTACGCCTGGATCCGGGTAGGATGGCTGGATACCTGGTTGTTGCCTCCTTCCCTCTGATGGGGCTTTCTGCTGAAGTAGCATCCACATATGATGCCGAGGGATGCCTGGTTGCTGCCTTCCTCCCTTTTCTGGCTAGATACAGGCATGATGGAAGGATGCCTGGCTGCTTCCTCCCTCGCTGTGATATGCTCTCAGCTGCATAAGGATCCAGGTAGGATGGAGGGATACCTTAGCTCTTGCCTCCTTCTCTCTAATGGGGCTCTCAGCCGCAGCAGCATCCAAGCAGGGTGGAGGGGATGCCTGGGCGCCCCCCCCTTCCTTCTGTGTTCCCAACCCGGTGGCAGCTGGACAGGCCCGTAGCCAGGATCTTTTAAAAAGGGCCCTTTAAAGAGTGGGGGGGGGGCACTGAAATGTGCACGTGACCCCCTGCGTGCAGCCCCCACTTCTCCCCCAAAGCATTTAAAGGGTGCCTTTAAATGCTTTGAGGGAGAAGCAGGGGGAGGCTGTGGGCGCCTGCATTCTAAGCTGCAAATTCGTGGCTTCGAGTGCAGGCGTGTGCTGGGCCTCCCCCACCCCCGTTCTCCCTCAAAGCATGTAAAGTTTAAATGCTTTGGGGGAGAAGCAGGGGCTGCACGGCTTCCCCTGGCTTCTCCCCAAATGTCGGGGGGCCTTGGGAAGAAGTCGGGGGGGCAGGCCCTGGGAGGCCCCACCGTAGCTATGGGCCTGCGGTTGGAAGCCAGAAAAAAAGGACTCTCTCCTTGAGAAGCATCTAGGCATGATGGAGGAATGCCTAGCTGCTACCTCCCCTCCTTCTGCATTCTCATCACTGACAGTTGGGTGGCAGGGGGAAAACAGATCGTCACTTCAGCTGGCTGAGTCGCCTGGCTGTCTCCGGCTGCACATAGTAAGGTAAAGGTAAAGGTTCCCTTGCTCGAAAGCCAGTCGAATCCGACTCCGTTTCCAAGCCGAAGAGCCAGCGCTGTCCGAAGACGTTTCCGTGGTCATGTGGCCGGCATGACTAGACACTGAGGCGCACGGAATGCTGTTACCTTCCCACCGAAGTGGTACCTACTTATCTACTTGCAGTTTCTTGCTTTCAAACTGCTAGGTTGGCAGGAGCTGGCACCAGAGATGGGAGCTCACTCCGTCGCGCGGCACTCAGGTCTCGAACTGCTGAACTACCGACCTTCCGGTCTGCAGTTCAGCATCTTAACCACTTGAGCCACTGCAGAATTAAATGTCGTTGGTCTTAAAGGTGTCACTGGACTCAAACTTTGTTACGTTCCCAGTAGGTTTGTTTACACTGTTTCAGTGCTGATAGCTCTGGGCAGGGCTATTTTTGGGCAGGAACGCACAGGAACGGAGTTCCGTCTGGCTCCTGAGTTGGCCACGCCCAGCAGGAACTCATTAGCATAATAGGCCACACCCAACAGCAGAAACTCATTAGGATTGGCTACATTAGGGGTGTGTGGCCTAACATGCAAAGGAGCTCCTGCTACAAAAAGGCCCTGGGTTTTGACAACAAACAAGGTAAACAGAATAAGGAGCAAAAGGTGGGTGTGGCTGGATGACCACACTTCTGGTAACATGGGGGTGCGGCCTAATGTGCTAATGAGCTGTGCTGCCATGGGTGTGGCCTAATATGCTAATGAGCTCCTGCTGGGTTTTTTCTACAAAAAGAGCCCTGGCTCTGGGGAAAGACTGGGAGTTATCTAGGACCCTGGCAATCCAGTTCTTAGGCCTTGGAAGTTCTGTTCAGCTTTGTTTCGGCTTTACGGATTTCACCAGGCGTTTGCACACGGGTTCTCAAGCCTGCTATTTGCTTTGAACTGTTTGTCTAAAGGGTGCATTTTTTAAAAAATGTGATGTTAGCAGTTTTCATTTCTTGTGAGCCAATCTGGACAAACTTGTTTCGAGGAAGAACAGCGGCATGCAGATAATGCTGCTACAGCCACAAGGACCAGAAGGCTTTTTGTGTCAAACTAAGGTGGAGGTTCGCAGTCCAGCAACAAATATTCTACAGGTTTTCCATGTTCTTGCCCAGGCTTAGGGACATGCAACTTTACAGCCCCTCCTAAGTCTACAAGTCGGTGTCCGACTCCACTTAGGAGCACTTTTTGACAATGCACACATCTTCAAGATGAAACACATTCACAGCTATTTGGGGAGGGGGACTCAGAACGACTAAACCAGGAGGCTTCGGCCAGGTTTCGGGTCTCAACAACTGCTACACGGGCTGTAGAAAAGATCACCATGGAAATGTCCAAGTCACACGCTCTGTAATCAGTCTGCCATCGTATTATTAAGTGAAGATGTAATTCGGGTTACCAGACGTCCACTGTTTTAGAGAACATGTCCTCTTTTTTTGGTCTCCATCCTCCTTTGGGATCTTTAAAAAAAACCCGGTGCAAATGTCCTCTTTTCTGGGTAGGAAGGTTAGGAATATTCCTAGTTAGTAGCAACGATCACAGCTTAAATAGGAGGGGTATTTAGGGTGGCCAAGTCCTACCTTGGCTGCAGCGGGGGGAGTCCCGGCCTTCCCCGGGAGTTCTTTGGTGCGCGAGTGAAGTGGGCGTGCCGTGATGACATCACCCGGAAGTGATGTCATCGCATCGGGCACGTTGGGGCCGGTGCCATTATCATTCGAGGGAAAACCATAAAGTTTTCCCTCGAATTATAGAGCGTCCCCCTGCAACGTGCCCGACGTGATGACGTCACCTCCGGGTGACGTCATCATGCCGGGCACAACTCCGTGCTCCTGGCATTTTGGGGGTGGGGTTCCCCCCAGCGGCCCGATCCAGGCCGGTGGGGAACGGACCCATCCAAGGGGGGTTTCACTGCCCCCTGGGGGACCTGGCAACCATAGGGGTATTTAAAATAAGATTTGTCATAGTGTGATTGGTTGTTTGAAGTAGTCCGTCGGGAAACATGTCCTCTTTTTTTTGCTTTTCAAAACATGGTAACCCTAGACATTATTTGTTTGTTTGTATTTTAAATTCATGAATTGCCCAATCCCTGTATGGACGGGGCTCTGGGTGATGTACAACAAAAGTTAAAAATGTCAAACAAGAGAAGTTAAAACGAATCAATAACATTTCTTACGTTCTTACAATAATCTCGGATGGTGTTACGGATCTGTGTCTAAGGCCATTCCGGGCTGTGTTACCGCCCCGTGGGCAGGGTCAAGAGGAGGCCGAAACAGGGGAGATGGCAGAAAGGGGGGAGGGCGCCAGCCGTGATGGAAAACCGTCACTGTCCTCAACCCAAAGCCTGGTGGAACATCACTGCCTTACAGGCCCCGTGGAATTGCATTAAATCCCGCAGGGCCCTGATGGTATTTGGCAGAGAGTTCCAGCAGGTCAGAGCCAGGACTGAGAAAGCGCTGGCCCTGGTCGAGGACAGCTGGATTTCTCTTGGGGCCAGGGATCATTAATAAGTTGTCCTTGGCAGAGCATAACGCTCTCCTGGGGACATACCAGAGAAGGCAGTCCCGAAGATATTGAAGGTCAATACCGAAACCTCGAGCCTGACTTGCTACTCCACTGGAAACCAGTGTAACTGGTGCAGTGCAGGTTGTATATGTGCCATTTGTGGCGTTCCCGTCAGGACTCGTGCTGCCGCATTCTGGATCGGGTGGAGTTTCCGGGTCAGTCTCAAGGGCAGGCCAGTGTAGAGGGAGTTACAGTAATCTAGCCTGGAGGTGACCGTTGCATGGATTACTGTGGCTAGGTCAGGGTGGGACAAGAAAGGGGCTGATTGCCTTGCTTGGCGCAGATGAAAAAACGCTAGCCTGGCAATATTTGTGACCTGGGCCTCCGTAGTTAAGAAGGCATCCAGGGCCACACCCAAACCCTTGATGGATTTGCTTCCACCAGGGCCGGATTTAGACTTGCTAAGCTATACAAAACCCCGAGGCCCCCTACTGTTTTAAATTACATCAGCTGGTCTTTTTAATATTTGAAATCATTCTTATATTGTGTTTTTATTTGAGGCCCCAGCAGATTGCGAGGCCCTAAACTGTAGCTTATTTAGCTTATGCGTAAATCCGGCACTGGCTTCCACCCATGCTGCATCATGGGTTCCGTAGTCTTTAAGCTACAAGCTTTACTTTAATTCTTTTCACGATCATCAGAGAACCATCTGCGGTGTTTCAACAGGGGGCCCCTTAAGCAAATCCCATCCCTTACAGATGAGCCAATTTTTGCTCTAAACCTTTTGGCCAAATGGCATTCATTTTTTTTCCAAGGGGGGGGAGAGAAGTTTGCTTGGCTTGTGCACACAAAACAGCAGGGAGAGGGAGAATCACTGTGCCCCATGGTGATGTTTTCACGAGGCCCCTTCTACCACCATGCACCCGCTCCCTCCCTCCCCAAAAAAAGCATAGAGAGAAAGAAGTAGGAAAGGAGTGTTCTACGCACCATCGGACTTACCCCGAAATTGGAAGCAGCAAAACGGTCAGAGGCAGAGACGTTGGTGGAGGCAGTGGTGTGAGCATAGTAAGCATTGATGTTGGCCAAAAGGGTGCTCATAACTGCTGGCACCCCAGGGCACATGTATTTGGAGGAGAGACAGGCAAAGTGCCTGCGGAAAGAGGACAAAGAGAAGTCAGTGGATTATGGGGATGGGCCTCACTTGTCAGTGGCTACAGAAGAAGACGAAGAAGAGAAGGGATTGGATTGATACCCCGCCCTTCACTACCCAAAGGAGTCTCAGTGCGGCTTACGATCTCCTTTCCCTTCCCCTCCCCACAACAGACACCCTGTGAGGTAGGTGGGGCTGAGAGAGCCAGTCTGGTGTCGTGGTTAAGTGTGTGGACTCGAATCTGGGAGAACTGGGTTCGATTCTCCACTCCTCCACTTGCACCTGGCTGGATGACCTTGGGCAAGCCATAGTTCCGATAAGAGCTGTTCTTGCAAAAGAGCAGTTTCTGTCAGAGCTCTCTCAGCCCCACCTACCTCACAGGGTGCCTGTTGTGGGGAGGGGAAGGAAAAGGAGTTTGTCAGCCACTCTGAGACACCTTTGGGTAGTGAAGGGCAGGGTATAAATCCAATCTCCACCTCCTCCTCCTCTTTCGAGAACTGCTATTGAGAGAACAGCTCTAGGAGACTCCTTCAGGTAGTGGGTCACACCAGCAGCTGCATGCGGAAGAGTGGGGAATCAAACCCGGTTCTCCCAGATTAGAGTCCGCGCTCCTAACCACTGCACCAAACTGGCTATAGCCACTTATTAAAAACAAAAGGATCCCCGTAGTGTTTCAGACATGGTCCATCTAGTGGAGCGCTCTGGTTTTATTTATTGTATTCATTTTATGTTACATATTGTCCTCCTTTCTCACTGGGACTCAAGGCAGATTACACAAAGAGAGTCAACACAATCCACAGAATGGGACATTCCAGCAAACAATGAAATAGGATTTGGGTTGCAGAACCAAACAGAAATCTAAAAAACAAAAGCAAAGCATAAGCATAGGTGTTAACAAGACACGTGGAATTTACTACTGCAGGAAGTGGTGGCAGCTACAAGCATAAACAGTTTTAACAGGGGATAGGATAAACATAAGGAGCAAGAGGTCCATCAGTGGCTCTTAGTCACAAGGCATAGGCAGCTAGTGCAGAATGCAGCAGCCAGGCTGTTGACGGGTCTCCCTAGGCGGGACCACATCCGGCCTGTGCTGAAGGCGCTGCACTGGCTGCCAATAGCGTACCGGATGCGCTTCAAAGTGCTGGTTCTTACCTTTAAAGCCCTTTATGGTCAGGGTCCGGCATACCTAAGGGACCGCCTTTCCCCATATGTTCCCCCAAGGGCACTACGGTCGAGGGGCCAACATCTTTTGACTACCCCAGGCCTCAGGGACGTCAAATTCGCCGAGACTAGGGCCAGGGCCTTTTCGGTGGCGGCTCCTACCTGGTGGAATGAGCTCCCGGAGGAGATCCAGGCCCTGCGGGATCTTGCGCAGTCCCGCAGGGCCTGCAAGATGGAGCTCTTCCGCCAGGCTTTTGAGTAGGAGCCGCCGCCGCTACTATTCCATCGATGCACCGTCACCGAAAATTGGCAGAGATACCATCAGGGTGCAAGAGAGCCCTGGGAAGAAGACTGGCTATCTGCCGCTTTGGAACTTATCTCGTTGGTCCGGATCCACCCTACCGGAACCCATCTTGGAACTGGGAACATCAGAGCACCAGCACTTTGTTGTTCTATCGTTATGTTTTTTATCTTGTTTTCATTGTTTTAATTATGGCTTTTGCCCCAATTGTTAGCCACCCTGAGCCTTAGGGGAGGGCGGGATATAAATCGAATTATAAATATAAATAAATTAAAATAGATGGCACACTCTGTCTGGGGCAGTGATGTTCTGTATTCTTGGTGCTTGGGGGGGCCCACAGTGGGAGGGCTTCCGGAGTTGTGGCCCTGCTGGTGGGCCTCCGGATGGCACCTGGGTTTTGGCCACTGTGTGACCCAGAGTGTTGGACTGGATGGGCCACTGGCCTGATACAACATGGCTTCTCTTATGTTCTTATATGTTCTGCAAACTATACACAGTAGTATAGGCCACAATCCCTAATAATTTATACATTTAAGTTTGTGAATTATTTGAAAGCTTTTCAGAAAGCCACCCCCTGTTTCTAATCTCACCCTGGCATCAAACATTCTGTGATAAACTACTTCAAAACTCAAGGCAATGTACACGGGATGTGTACACTTGGGAGGTCGTCCATGTCGGCACAGGAGAGCTAGGGAGGTTTTAGGGTTGCCGGGCCTAGGAGATTTTTGGGGTGGGGCTGCGTACAACCCTGGAAGAGATGTCACTTTTGATAGATGCTCTAGGAATTTCTCCCTCAAACCCCTATGGTAAAAACCAGTATCAGGGCTTTTTCGGTGGTGGCCCCTCACCTTTGGCATGACCTCCCCATTGAGGGTCGACTGCTGCCTACTGTACTGTTTCTGAGATACCGGGTCAAAAGAAGTCTCTTTGCCAAGGCTTTTTTCATTGACTTCTTCCGTTGTATGTTTATGGTCGGTATCTTGCCTGAGGGCTCTTCTGTAGACTCCATTTTACACTGCCAAAGTTATCTTTATGTTGTTTTCATGCCCTGATGGGACAATAATATCTTTCCGAGTTGGTGTTCGTACTAATGATTTGTGTGGTTGTATATTGTTCTTAATTTATGTAAAGGTTCCCTTGCTCGAAAGCCAGTCAAATCCAACTCTAGGGTTGCGGTGCTCATCTCCGTTTCAAAGCCGAAGAGCCAGCGCTGTCCGAAGACGTTTCCGTGGTCATGTGGCCGGCATGACTAAACACCAAGCCACACGGAACGCTGTTACCTTCCCACCGAAGTGGTACTTATTGATCTACTTGCAATTTCTTGCTTTCGAACTGCTAGGTTGGCACTTAATTTATGAGCTGCCTCCAAAAGGTCACTGGCGAGGCATCATATAATTTCCTCCTTATATCAACTACATTGTCCAAAATATACTCTTAGAAACCACCTGGACTAAAGCCTAGGAAGACTCTGACTTTAAGCCGTCTTCATATGGACTCACGTCATGGCCTGGTAGATGGACTCGACCCCATATCTCATGGCAAACTCATCCACAATCTCTTGAGCTGTCTCGTCAAAATAAACTTTCCAAGCGTCATCGCCCTTGGCATCTGGGATTTTGACCACACCGTTGTTTTGGATGTCCGTCACAAAATGAAAGAGGTTCTAGAAAACGAAAGATAGGAGAGGAGTCCTGGTTACGGAGGAGTCCCCAGGCAGAGAACAGGAAACAGCGGTGGCATGAAGACATTACACTCATCTGTGCTTTTATCGACCAGAGTTTGACCAAACCCCACTTAGTTACAACATCTGCCAGCCTGGGGTTTTGTTGAATGGCCCTGAAGCAGGGTGTTGAGCAAGGACTTACGGCTGGTTGGCTAGTCATCGTTCATACCAGTTGTGGTTTGTTGCGATGTCTAAATTCACACACCAGAGTTAGCCAAGTAGCACGGCCCCTGGCGGATGCAGGGCCAAAGAAATGGCAGGATAGATAAGACACAAGGGAATAGTGATCTGTGTGAAAAAGACGCTAACACTGGTTCAATAAAGACCAAAGCTTTGATACAAATACAATCATATAAGCACAATCAAGTCCAATCTTAAAGTAGAGACGTTTCCTCTTGAGATGAAGATGTATGAAGAATGATATACGAAGAATCCGGATATTAAGAACTCTGTTTCGAAGAACTTCCTCAGTAACTGAAACAATATATCTTCAAGGCTTTACATCACACTTCCTTCCATAATCACTTTTTCTGAGATGTGCTGTCAATAACTGCCCTTTTATGAGATGTGTGGCTGTAACTCACAAGAGTGCATATAACTTATTTGAAGATACATTGTTTCAGTTACTGAGGAAGTTCTTCGAAACAGAGTTCTTAATATCCGGATTCTTCTATCATTCTTCATACGTCTTCATCTCAGGAGGAAATTTCTCTACTTTAAGATTGGACTTGATTGTGCTTCTATGATTGTATTTGTATCAAAGGTTTGGTCTTTATGGAACCAGTGTTAGTGTCTTTTTCACACAGATCACTATTCCCTTGTATACCTACACTGTGGCTGAATCTGCATTTTGTCTTTCCCACCGGTGTCCCAACCTTTTGACTCCGTCTTCAAAAAAGCTGTCTACATTTGGTGTCGTTTTCACACCTCAACAGTGCTAGCATACTTTTGCACATCTACATATGTTTATCGTCCTTTCGGGGCGGCTCCACTGTCATTGCACCTCTGCACTGCTTTAAAAGGATCTTCTCCAAACAACATTCAAACAAGCATAGAGAAAGACGGCGTCACAGCAGCACGAAACTGCTTTAAAAATGCAAATAAAGATTCAACCTGTGTGTTCTTCTTTGGTTGCTGTTAGGATGGATAAAATAGCCTCCAGGATATCCTCTCTGTGGGAAGGCAGCAAGAGGACAAGAGGCAGGCGAACCAGAGTTCGTAATTTGTTCTAGGCAAAGATTGTTGTTAACAGGGCTTTTTTCCCCTGGGGGAATGCGCCAGAGCGGAGTTCTGAAACCTCTTTGACAAAATTATTTTAAAAGTGTTTTAAAATTCACAAGTTTCAGTATAGATTGAAATTTTAATTTGAGAGTTCCCTCTTAAAAAAAAAACAGCGAAAAACCCTGGTTGTCAAGAAACCACAGTTTATCAAGGGACATACAAATAAGCCTTTCTTTTTGTTTTCACACGTCGTGACTGTGATTGTCTGTGCTTTGCCTGTTATCGTCGCTGTTGCCTCCTGATTCTTTTGTTTTCTTTGATGAATTTAATGGATGCCAAGGTTACATCAAAACCAGCGTCTCAATGTATTTATTTATTTAATTCAATTTATACCCCGCCCTCCCCGCTACGCGGGCTCAGGGGAACAGGGGAACATTCCATTGAGAAGTAACAGCAAACAGAGGAAAAAAGAAAGATTTACAGGTTCGGCTTCTCCAAGGGAGAAACAAAATGCGAAGGAATAGGGGCTGGGGGTCAAAACAGCAGAACTAAGAAATCCGACTTTATACATTGTGGAGTCTGAATGGAGCTTGTGAGCAATGTTCCCTCTGAGCTGTGGAGTCTTGTGAGCAAAGATCCTACTTTGTGAACTCCTGACATTAAAGTTGTGAGTGAACGATTTTGGCTACTGCCTAAATTAGTTTGCTCTGGGGCCCTCCTTCCTGAGCTAGGACAAAACTTTGTGTGAGCCAGAGGCTAAAAAACTGTGAGCTAGCTCACACTAACTCAGCTTAGAGGGAACACTGCTTGTGAGTGGTGTCTGGGGAAAGGGATGCCCGCTGGCACCTCACTCACCTCATGGAGGCAGGTGTATTGCACGTGGTATGGTGCCACTTTCTCCTCGCCTTTGATCTCCACGCTGATGTGCAACCGGATGGCGCCAGACACGGCTGACTTGTCCGTCCGCTTGTCTAAACCAGACAGAACAGAAGACGTTTTTAGCAAGCCGTTGTTCTGTTTGCCCGATGGATGTTTATTCGTTCTGCCACGAATATTTCATGATAAACCCGATGCACTGAATCAAAAAGGGGAGCTTTTCAG